TGAAACAAGAGTGGCATTTTAGCTTAGTTTGCACTTGGTTATATAGCGTGAAAATGAAAATGATTTGACTTGATGCTTGATACTTTTCTGCCTCATACCAGATTGTGATGTGATAATATGGATGGTCTGGTTTGGTAATCTTTAAAAAAAAAAAAATATTTCCAAGAAAGCTGATGTTGGACTCATTTACTTATCTAACGCCAACTTTACAACAGACAACAAAAAGGAATGGTTAAAGAAAAAAAACTTTAAAAAAGAAGAAACATTTATCGTGTCATTGGTCAAATAGTCATCCCACTAGAAAGTCAGCAATCAATCAGCCAGGCAGCCAGTTGAGGGATGAACACACAGCAATATGTGAGCATTACATCCTCTCCCACAGTGCAGAGGCAGAAGGAAAGTTTCTTGGCTGTGAAGTTCCAAGGCTGAAATGTACAGGGGGGCACTGACTGAAGATATGCACCAGGCAACCTTGAACCTTTTTTTCCCCCCACTCCTTCCCTGTGTCTGTCCTCCTTATTGCATTTCTAACCTCCTCTCTGTGGGGTGGGGGAATAAAAAATACAAGCATTTGAAAAGCTGCAGATTATATAAAATACATTTTGGACTTTCATATTGAAATGAGGTGCGGAAGCAGTTTGTGCGGCCTCCGTCAGATTTGGTGGCGAACTGATTATTCCAAATAAGAAGGCCTTGCTCTGTGTTCACACAGGGCTGGGATGCTGGATAGCACAGCTGCCACAAAGGCTACAATTTACCAACTCTGGCTTCATACATTTTGATCTATTGCTCCCCTCAACTGTTAGCATTTCATTTGAGCTGTAGGGAAGTTGAAAGGGGGCATTTTTCTTTTTTCTTCGAGGGTGGATAAGATGCAGCTGTAATGGCTTTCACTTTGGTGGTATCAAGACACAGCCAAGTGTGAACCAAGGTGTTCAGGGATGAACTTCTATGGATATACGTGTGATTATTGCCTTGCTTTCACACATAGAGGTCTCTATGTGATTCCAGTGTGTCTTAAATAATTGTTTAAAATGTGCGCTACTTATTTTGTCCAGTACCCTTTATGTTTGCTGTTGTGAATTTAGACCGAGTGTGAGCAAGCGTCGTAAATCATGCCATTTTTCTTTGTGTTCTACAGTATGTCTTGTGGTTTCTCGGGGCTTCAGAGTCAGGTTGGCTCCAGTATTCTCAGTTGTGGATCACTGAAGCAAATAGTTGCTGTTCTTTGTGACTTGGTCTCTGTGCTTCAGGCTTTTCTTCTTTCTTCTCTTACGAAGCGTCACACTCGGTGAGGAAGAGAAAAAAAAGCATAGAGAGCTGAATGTATATAAACCAGTGGTGGAGGTGAGACACTCTTGCAGAGGTTAAGGAGGTCAGAAGAAGAGGAGTTCTGCTGTCTTCTCCCTTTGAACAGTATAAGTCTTACATGCTTTTGTGCAATGCCGTTTGACTGCTTGAATAGACTTTAATCCTCAGCCCGTGGAAATTCAAAGCCAGAGCATTTGCTTGCATTTCCAGAAGTGTCAACATATTTGAACAACAGAATGTTTCTAAAATTAAATTCTAATTGAGAACCATTCTGAAGCTTATGACATATTAGCACTCACAAATCCAATAGTTGTGCTTTCTGCATGTCTTCCATACTCATTAACAAACTCTTGCCAGACATAAGCAGAACCAATCAGCTTTAATATGCCTCTTTGGATGCTCTGATGATGTTAACCCTCTGTTATCTAATGTTTATCTGCACTATAGCTGTTGCATAAACATTTTATTTCTCCTTCTCGTTTTTCTCTTTGCTCTGTTGCAACTGTCAGGAAGCGGTGGAGGACCTGCTGGAGGATGAGGATGAGGATTTTGACAAAGATGACAAGGTAATTATGTCTCGTGTCAGAGATGCATTCACACACACACACACACACAC